TATATATATATATATATATATATATATATATATATATATATATATATATATATATATATAAAGAGAGAGAGAGAGAAGTATAAAAATTTTCTTCTTTATTATGATATTAATTGGTTGAATAAATTTAATCGTTACTTTTATTGTTTTCATGCTCTATAAAAAAATATATAATACCAAATCAAGTAGCACGATGATATATAATTCATATTAATATTGTAAAAAACTCAAATAATATTAAATCATAAATAATCATATAAGTTGATACCAATATGTGCATCGAGATAAAATATATTATTACGAGAAATTTTGAATATCATATAAACGTGTTTATAAGAGTTTTGTCGATGTATATATTACACACAGACCCACACACACACATATATATTACACACTGCGCGACACACGCTCGTACACACATAAAGTGTGCGATACACATATAAAATAAATTCCCACCTCAAAAATTAAAAAGATTCTATTAAATATATGAAGTCGGAATGATAACTTAGATACAAATATAACTAGAATAAAATGCTTAACAATGCAGTTGTTTCTAGCTGTTGAATGCTTGTAATATTCATATACAAAAAAAAACTATTATTCATTATTAAATAATGTACGCACGCATATATGTATATGCAAAAATTTGCCTTTGGATATAGAGATCTATAAAATTATTCAGGAATTTTCACTAGACAAAAGATTCAGAGAAATTACATCCTCTCTCTTTTATTTCGTAACTCTATGTCTCTCATCGCACGGAAATGGACAATAAAGATATCTCTTAATAGATTGAACAATTTCTTTCATTAAAAATGACAATTTTGACTATTTTTTTCGATTATTCGGAAAGTCGAATAAATTTTTAACAAAATAATAGTCATTGTTGTTGTCTGTATTAAGGATGACATTACGAAAGATCCCGTAAGAGAAAAATGTCGTAATGATAAATATCGTAAAGGCCTGCTTTTGTACATATCTTGTACTAGTTCGCAGGTGTTTGCTATGTGGAATATCAGCATATTATGCAGAGTCCTCTATAGCAGTCAGTCAATGTCGAGATAGAAAGAAAGTATGGACTTGCAAAGCGTCCTGTAAAGAGCAACTGCCTACAACGACACGCATTAAAATATATGTATATGTATATGTATATATATATATATATATATATATATATATATATATATATATATAATATATATAATATATAATATATAAAATCAGTAAAGGAAAATGTAGAAATGATTTTGTCTTGTTGTCATTGATGATGCCACGACCACCAGTGTTATTATTATTACTATTGCTATTTGCGTGCAAACCATCGAAAAAATCTCCAAAAGCTTTGAAAGCAATATTATACCGAGAGAAAGGTGTTTGGATAATATACAGAAATAATTACTGAAAAAGAGAGAAGCACGCGTTAATTGTATGTATAAATTTAAAAGCAAATGAAAGAGTATGTTTGATATATCGATCACATCTTTTATAGGAATAAATGAATAATCCGCGTTTTCGCATTACTGTGACCGAGCTATATGACAAAAAAAGTACTGTCTGTCAATTTGTAATGTGTGATTGTATATTTTTTGACTGAGATCTTGGTATCAAAGAGTGTACTTTTCTCTCGGTTGTAAGACAACTGCCAAAATATGAAAAACCTTATTTTTACCTGAATCGAGCTTGCTGTCAGGGAAGACCGCAAAACTGATTTGAACCTGAAAAAGTGTTAAAGTAGAATCTTTTCAAATTCGCATTGCAGTGTAAAGTGTGGATGAAAGACTTGTCGCTGGTACGAACAGGGTCGAGTTACTTCCTGTTGATATTCCCGTAGGAATATTTCCCAATATTTGCGAACATAAGATCAATGTTTGCAAGGAATAAACGTAGCCATAAAACTTGAAACGAGGTTGACACCAATGGATACCAAGGATCAAACGGGAGTAATGCACTCTCAAAGTATCTACTATGCATTCCAGGTACTGGTAACCTAGGGGTAAGAGAATACTAGAAATCTTAAATACAGTGATGTGTATGTCTGTTTTTTGACCCATTAATCGATCGTCAGGATGAATGAGTTCTAAATTAGGAATTATTCTCAGATAAGAACTGGTTCAGTAAGACAATTCTTTAACGCAATCGATGCAATGTGTAGTGAATACGTAAGAAACATTCACATATTGCAATTTAATATGGATTTTTAATATGGATCTTTTTCTGAAAATAGTACCAGAAACATATCAATATTCGCAAATGCAAATTTAATAAGTAACAACACAGAGATGTTTGCACATTTTATAGCATAATTTATCGCAGTCTACCCAATAATCTTACAAACTTGTACCTTTGTTTATGTATGAAGAGACTTGTATCTATCATATCAAGTCATAATAAACTGATATTGTCTCACTTAAGTAATAGTTCATAAATTTTGAAATATTTTGCTTATGCATGAACTCGTAGTGTATGTAGGCATCTTCTGATCGGAATCAGGAATACGTTTTAAGAAATTATCATTTTCAGTATATATCGCATATTATCGCGTGTATCGCGTATTACACTCTCTAGTAGAGAAATGTCTGCACTCTTCTACAAATTTTGAAGTATCTGCTCTTCATGATCGAAGAAACATTGACACACTCCTCGTAATTGTGTGACGAAGTTTTATTGTAATTATAAATAAATTTATTGACTGACCATTATATTAGACTCTACATTCTGCGTGACCAGATCTTACAGCAACCCTTTATTCCACATAACTATATGGAACTATAAGAATATATTCATTAACCAGTTACTTTCTATTTTAGTAAATCTCGTAATCAACGAGTTTTACAATGCTTCTATTATCAAGTTATTGTATGCAAAGCCTTGTTTTAAAAAAGCGATAATTATAAATAACCACTCCTTTGTTCTATTAATATCTAGTACAAGGAATAAGAAAATAGTCGCGGAAAAATTATGTTCATATTTAAATAAAAATTTCATAATTAAATAAATAAATAAATACGTAATATAAATATATATAAGTAATTACTTTCATACATGTTAAAATATATGTAATACATGCCTTTGAAATACACGATAAATACAAAATAAATTACTAGTATTCAATTTTTCAATAAAATATAGGGATATGTATCAACAATATTTAAACTGCATTATAACAGCATTGCTAGCCCGATATGTATTCTATTAGACATGCAATAAAATATACCAATAATAAATAACTATGAAACTTGCGAGCAATTTTATTTTTTAGTTTTAAGTATATAAATATGTTGTTTAGATTTATGTGATCTATATAGTTTTGTAAAAAAGAGAACAAACTCAAAAAAACTATTAATATACACATTTGATACACATCTATTCGTATAAGACTAATCTATTGTTCATAATATTTAGAATTCTTAAAGTTTACCCCATAAATTTTTATGTAAGAATTTACGCGATAGTGTATAGTGCTCGTTATTAACTATTGACTGATGTGTGTTTCACATAAACCTTTGATGATATGTTATAATGAAAGAGCCAATATTGAGTAAAAAAATGAAAATCATTTTGTTATATCGTTATATGTATAGTTAAATATCAAATTTAACTGTATAAGTCAACATAAAATCTCATAAAATAAAGTGAATTTCAAGCATACGAAGTTAAATGTCGAAAGCTGAATCATCTGTTAGGTTTGTTCGTTTAGTTAATTACAATAATTTACCCAATCTTGGCGCGGAGGTGCACAGTTAGTATGAGTAATCTAAATATTTCTTCTGAAAATAATCTTGTACGCATCTAAGAGCATCCTAGGCCTTGTTAATTAATGAAAAAATAAATAAATAAGAGGCAGAAGCACGTCCAGGGCCAGCCGAGCTCTCTCTATTAGTCTACACCCACCATATGTTCTGAGTCACAGATACAGATGCAGAGTTTTATCGTTAATTGCACGCTTTCCGATTAAGAAAGATTTTGACCGTTAATAAGATTAATTAAACGCACACATTCACATTTAACGTGAAAATCTAATTAAGTCATATATCTAAGGACACACGGACGACACATAGCGCTCTTCTACATTAATTGCAAACACTTACTGAATCTTCTTATAAGATTGCAGGTGAACGATTCGGACGTAACGCTCTCTTCGCATCTTAGGTCGCAAATAGTCGCCTCATTCTTGGGGAATTTCAAATTCGGTACTGAGAGCAAGCGGTTCTCTCTCTTCGTTTGTTTCATTTTGGAGATACGCTTCAATCTCGGCGGTTTTACTTCATATTCAGGCAAAGATAGATTCATCGGTCTCACTGCCTCAGTTTCTATGTTAATATTGTCATTGTTCATAGCTGTTATTGTTGTCATTGTCGCCATTGTCGGTGTTGTCGTCGTCGTCGTTGTTATCATCACCGCTGTCGTCGTTACTGTTTTTGCGTCTATGCTTTCCGTTGGGCTTTTAGTGTCTTGAATCTCTCGTTTTCCATCATTTGTCTGTGGATTTTCACTTCCAGGAGATTGATTTTCCGGCGAGCAGGAGGATTCGGAATCAATACTTTCGACCGGTGATAGCGAACGACTTGTGTTGGGCGCTTCGTTCATGTTGCAGTAAAATATAGAGGACTTTTGGTTGTCAGTATCGCAGCCTACTTGTTGACACTGGGGTACTTGCATGAGCCCCGGTGATGAGCTCTTTCGAAAAAATAAAAATGTATGTTGTAAATCGTAAATAACATTAAATCTACGAAACAGAAGAGCGTGCTACTACTAAATATGGAAACCGATTTCCGACATAAGCGCCCCAAGTTTACAAGTTAAAAAGTATCTTTGACGAAGTTATAAGCCGAAGAAAAATGCGTTGACTTTATCATGTTATGCCACAGCTGTAAATATATATTGCATATATCATAAGATGCACACATAATAGCTGCACTTTAAGTTAATATCCCAGCAAACACAATAATATAGTCACATCGATAAAATGTAACTGAATGTAATATGCAACATAATGTTTATTATATACGATATTGTAGCTATATAACAGAAATATAACATGTTATAGTTAACAGAAATATAAAATGTTATGTAGCTGTTTTATATGGGTGTGTGTGTGTGTGTGTGTCTGTGTGTGCGCGCTCGCGCACCTGTACCATTGTGTGTTGTACCGTACCTGAACGCGCGTACTTTAGCCAGTATAATTGGTTAACTTTAATCGTTTATAATTTGAAAAGTATTATAGCCTCGCCATTTTTGTATTAGGATTTTTTTATTCAAATTACCTCAGGAATCCGCCCTTAAGAGATAATGCGGTAGTGACGGGACACCCTGTGTATGTGTGTGTGTGTGTGTGTGTGTGTGTGTGTGTGTGTGTGTGTGTGT